AGACGACGACGACGGAGACGGACAATCACTCATATGATAAGCTCCGCTCGACAAAGTCGACAGCGGAGCTAAAAATGTGTATATTTTCAGTGGGTACATTCTATGGTGCATATTCATTAGGCTTCATTTAGCGTATTTAGAAATCAGTAAAACCTGCATATATTACGAGGGTACAAAATATAGCCATGCTAATTCTCAGGTCAATTTAATATCTTTTGATTAATACCTTAGATATTCATCACAAATTCCCCAAAATTAGCACAATGAGATAAGATAGCATTGAATTTGCATAATATGTCAATGTATCTGGATATCATACACGTTCATTGACATGTGTCTTGAATGATTTGATATTTTTTACAGTAATCGACATTCCATTGTTTGATGTTCAAATGTAAAAGTATTAATATGCCGATGAAATGCATGATATTTTCTTGACCAAAATCAAATATTTGTAATTGATTATTCTTATGGTTTATGTGTTTCAAAACAAAATTAATATTTTTAATGAAAAAAGCTGGTTTTGAACTCGTCTACGAGAATGTCCTGTTAGTGTACCTCAAAACTAGGCTGATGATAGTCTCATTTGCATACAAAAATACTCCTAATCTTTAATTAAAATTAAACCTTATAACGCTTACCTGTTTGAGCCATAGTAACTTTGGCGGCTCTTGCTCTAAGCTGATAGCACCACCCACATATTTCAGAATATCATGTTTTGTTGAGTTGATGAAGTTCGCTTGTTTGTGTGCCCTGTGATCCATCCACATTATGATATTACGATCATTGTCACCTAAATTTTATGAAATAATTTATACAAGTAGTAGTTTTTTTAGTTATAATGGCTATTTTTACAAACCAATCTACAATTCATAACAAACATGTGAAAATTGAAAGCCATTTGACCAATCAGAATGACTACGCAATTAAATGCTACATTGTATCGTATTACTGGCCATCATTGAGCATTGAAGAACAGTTCCTTGTTTTGCTTTCAATGAAACTCATAACATGTCATGAAGAACATACAATTTTTCAGTCATATTTATTTTTCTCATAAAAAAAAAAAATTTGACCAAAGAAAATTTTTTTTTTCACCCCAAATCAGGAGCAATATCTTAGGGATTTCTCACCACTGCCAAATAGAGAGAGAGAGAGCTTGTAATACAAACTCAAAATGTCAAAGACAAAACACATTTAACTTTTATCTCTACCTGATGTGCTGATGGAGAGAGGATGAAAACTTGTATCCAGGACAACCAATGAACATGTTGCATCAAATCCAATCCCTCTGATGTTTGTCACATCAACATCACCAGTTATGTTCTGAAAAAAAAAAAAAAAAAATATATATATATATATATATATATATATATATATATATATATATATATATATATATATGGTTTTTTACATCCAAAGTTTGAAACTACCAGGGAGTGGACGCTCGCTATATGAACATGAGAGAGAAACACAAAATTAGGTAGGCCACTGAGCAAGTCAAACAATTTTTTAAGTTGTTTTGTTTTTTATTTATGTCAGGCAACTAGAAGCCCGTAAACTGCAATTTGCTAATGACGGGTGAGATTTAACAATGATATTTCCATTTTAAGGCTATTTTATGGTGGCCCATAT